CTCTTTGGTCTTGCCCATGGTGGTGGGAGAGGTTGGAATGGAAGATACAGATTGTGTGGACAGGTGTCTTTTATACACCTAACGAGCTGACATTAGGAGTAACTTCTTAAAGTGGCAGGACTAATCTGTGTTCCACATGGGCACATAACCAGTCTGTGGGAGCCAGAATTCTTGCTGGTTGGTAGGAGATCAAATACTTATTTCACTCACTGTATGTACAGATTTGTGCATTGTTTAATCTATATACAGCTTTATAAATAAAAATAACAGTATAAATAATTATAATAATATTGTGAATTCTAGTAAGTCACTTTAGATAAGTCCTCTGCTAAATGCATAAATATACAAATATGTTTGAACACACACTACTGTTCAAAAGTTTTTTTTTTGTGTGTTTTTTTAAAGAAATCAATCATTTCCAGCAAGGACACTTTAAATAGAGTGACAGTAAAAAAAATTACATAATATGACAATGAATACTGGAGTAATGGCTGCTGAAAATCCAGCCTCGCCCTCACATTGTTAAGAGATAACATTTTAGATAGAAAACAGCTTTTTTGTTTTTTTTTTTACTTTAAATTTTAAAATTTGTCTTACATATTACCGTTTTTACTGTTTTTTTTTAAAACATTAAAAATATTTTTCAAAATCATACTGACCCTGAACCTTTTTTACTTATATATATATATATATATATATATATTCCTTTTTTTGGGACATTTTCTTTACCTGATTTCACATTGTGGAAATGTATGTTATTTTCTCACCCTACAGAGTTTAATTTGATTATTTTTATGCTAAAATGATAATTCCTTGAGGCTGAGTGCACCTTATAATATTTGTTCTTTGCTCTCTTCACAGATATTGCATTGTGCCTTGGGTAAGCGCACCCTGCTGCTAATAACAGTCTCTTATTAATTTTTACTATAAATATGCACTAGGTGAAGTATATAGACCAGATTGGCTATACAAGGAAAGCTTTTTTTAACCCAGCAGTGCCATCGTCAGCGAGGGTGCTGCTTTCTCTGCCAGTCTGACTGTTATAATGTGATAAAGAGTCTCACTGCACCCGTGGAACATAGAGTTCACAGTCCACACCTCATTATCTGGGACTTAAAGCTTAATGTGACCTTTCCCAGTGCAAACTACCAGTCCTGCAGCACTCTCCGTTACATCATAACCATCCTTGCTCTCCTAAAGTATTTTATTCTAATGATTTTAATTCTGTTTTATGTCTCTCTCATCATGTTTAGTGTAATGGATTAAGATTATTTTTATACTTGCTTTATCGGATTCATAGTTTACTCTGATTAAAGCCACATTGCAAAAATGCAAATGATTAATCTCTTTACACAATATTTAAAATTTTGTGAAGGAATTGTTCCCTCCTCTGTGGTCCTGACTGGGTTCCAAGTGATGTCACGAGTATTCCTTACCTGGGCAGTGACACACAGCGTTAGAGAAGTAAGTTTATGTTTAAAGTGAAGTTTATTAAAAAATGAAAATTCTGTCATCATTCACTCACCCTCAAGTTGTTCCAAACCTGTATGAGTTTCTTTCTTCTGTTGAACACAAAATAAGATATTTTGAACAATGTTGTTAACCATTGGCTTCCATAGTATGGAGAAAAAAAAAATATTATAGAAGTTAATGGCTACCAACAACTATTTGGTGCAACATGAGGGTGAGTAATTGATGACAAAATTCTAATTTTTGGGTGAACTATGCTTTTAACTTTGCATATGCGGCAGCGTTATTTTTGAATTATTTATAGTAATTATAGAGTATTATTGAATTTTTTAAATAATATTTAAAATTTGCTGTAATTTTTTTTTTATTAGTTTAATTTTTATTTTTAAATATTTAATTATTTATTTTGTGTTGTCATTTTTATATATTTTTTATTATTTTAAAGTTTTATTTCATTTTAATACTTCAACTTAAAATGATTTTATTTCACTTAGTTTTCATGTAAGTTTAAGTGGGAAACACTTTGTAAAACTAACATTTATATTTTATTTTATTTCAGCTTTATTTCAACAATTTTTAATAGTTTTATTTTGGTTTTAGTTAAAAAAAACAGATGTTTTACTTGTTCAGGTGACCTACAGTATTAATGGTATATTATGATTTTTTTTTTTTTTTAATGATGGTGTCAGGTATTCTCATGGTTAAAAAAAAACTGGATATGAAAATCCTAATCAATATCTCAAATTACTCATGAGCAATGTATATAATGAGCAACATTTCTCTTTTTGTCTCATTGAATCTGGTCTACTGCCATCTAGTGGATTTCAACAGCTTGTATAATATTTCAATGCTCACCAAAAATCCTGCATTAGTAGAATATAAGTGTGAAGAAAACAATGTTATTTATTTTAAGTTCTTTGAAACTAAGAATCAAGTTCTGATTGTCCATCCCAGAGAAAGACGTCTGAGCTGAAGTGTGTATTTCTGTAAGTTATTCCAACGAGAAACCTGCTTGAACCAAAACTGGGGAGTAATACTAATATTTAACATGTCCATGTGTGCCTGTGTATGTTGCTAAAATAACCTCCTTTCAAGCCTGTATGTGTGTAGAAGTGAAGCTGGAGCCTTTGAATGCTTTGTGAAGTGCTTCCGTTTCCGATGTTCTCAGTAGTCCATCTTTGTGTGTCGAGTGGCTTCAGTGAATTGCGATGGAACAGTAGCAGACATAACCGCATGGTTCTCGACTAAATTTTCCTGCTTGCTGAGCAGTTCTGTCTCTTCCCTGTGTGACTTACAGTTTCTCTCGTTTCAGGTCCAAAGCGAAGACAGTGTTCTCCTCTTTGTGGTGGCCTGGACAGTCACGGAGATCATCCGTTACTCTTTCTACACCTTCAGCCTGCTCAACCATCTGCCTTACCTCATCAAATGGGCAAGGTGAAGCTTCTCAGAGTTTATTGTCTGGCCTTTTTCGCTAGAAAACGACATATTTTACATATTTCGTTTTTCAAATATTCACAGGTACACGTTTTTTATCGTGCTGTACCCCATGGGAGTGGCAGGGGAACTTTTGACCATCTACGCCGCGTTGCCATATGTGCAGAAAACAGGGCTGTACTCCATCACCTTGCCTAACAAGTACAACTTCTCCTTCGACTACCACACCTTCCTCATCCTCGTCATGGTCTCCTACATCCCATGTACGTTTTAATCTTCCTGGACAAAGAGATTATGCATCATGTTTTGATATCTTCCATCTGTAAATAATCTGATTCCTCGGTTGATCTTGTGTATCTTTGAAATCTCTAGAAGCTCATTCTTGTCTTGTGAATGAACAGCTCTGTTCCTGTTAATGACCATCTTTGTCTGTGTTCCTCAGTATTCCCTCAGCTCTACTTCCACATGATGCGCCAGAGGAAGAAAGTTCTGGGTCACGTGGAGGAGTACAGCAAAGTGGAATAACTCTCTCCGCAGTTGCCACACACTGCAGACTGATCGCACCGAAAACGGAAACAAGCGGATAACCTTTAAAAGCCACACTACAGATTTTTTTTTTTTTTTTTAAGAAGACAAGGCGTTCTTGTCGATTAAACAGGCCAGATTTGCAGAATGATTGTTAACGATACTATTTTGATCAAGAACTGTTGCAGTTGGGGATTTTAGGGATCCTGTAACTACACAAATGGCTTTTCCTCAGTTTAGAGGGAGAGAAATGTCGTTTCCATACTAATACATCAGGTTCTGTGTAAAACATTTTTACATTTTTATTTTTGATTCTAAATGTAGAATTACTGACCAAATATTGTAGCAGATATCACTCAGACAAAGGGCAAAAATATAGTTAGCTGCATCTGGTGGCTTTAACCAGAAAAAATGTCTCATAGTTTTCCTGCGTGGTGTGTTTTGTACACTGTATTTCAGACATTTGAATCTAATTGACTTAAATCTCTCTGTTTCTCACTCAACGCATTCCTTTTCCTTATATTTGAGTATGATTCATAACTCAAACCGTACTCGACTTTCACACTACTTGTCTACTGATTCCCATCATGATTACTGTTAGTATTTTCTTTTTGTTTTGTGCTGTGTTTCTTAAAGGATCAATGTTAATCGGTTGTTTTAATCAGTATTGGATATGTATTGTTGGTTTGTGGCCGTTTGCAGAAAAAAGAGGTGTATCACCCAAAGAGTTGCTGGGTGGGACCTCATAGTCAATACTACTAATGTACTAGATGTGCATTTCTGTCGTAGAAGGAGATTGCAGATTACATTTTTGGAGCTTTTACGGCTGGCGATGTGGAAGTGTTTGGCTGAGAGAGACTCGCACGCCGAGCAGAAGAGAGCACAAGCCTAGGCTAACGGGGGCCAATTGGATTTGAGTGCCTCCAGTCATGCTTTTCCAATGAGTCAAATCTAATAATGTGGAGCGAAAACTGGGAGTCAAGACAAACTTAACGCTTCATTGCCCGTCTGCCTAATTGTGAACAGTTAACTTCAGCCCTCCCAATGCAAATGAATCTCTCTCGTATTGAAGTGTGAGCCACACTATTGCACAGATAGAGTCTTTGCAAACAAAGTGGTAAGCCTGTTCTCCTTATCAAGCCTATTCATGAAAAGATTAGCATGGGATGAATGGAGTGCAACTTTGAATAACACTGCATGTAAAAATGGTGTGGCTAAACCTTGGTTAGTAGAAGCATGACCCTTAACTCAAATAAAAATGCCAACATTGTCAAGCTTTTGATATTCAAGTTCTGCATGGGACCAGCAAACTTTGTATGAATAGTAATATGATGATATATATTTACAATAAACCATAACATGGGAAGCAAAGCCATTTTGTTTGTATTATGTAAGCTGAAGTGCTTCATCTTCCTGATATTTTAGTATTTAACTGAGGTGTAATTAAAAGCATTGTGTCTTAAGTATATTTCACTTTATGTCAGTATACTGTTAAACACCTATTGGCCCAGTTTCACAGATGGGGCTTAGTTTAAGCCAGGACTAGGCCTTAGTTAAATTAAGATATTTAAGCAGCTGTTACAAAAATGCCTTAGAAGAAAACATTACAGGTGTGAATCTTGACAAAGAACAATGGCACTGACATATTTTAAGATATGTCAGAGCAAGATATTTTCAGTTGAGACAGCTCAAACCTGCATTTTAGTCTGGGACTATTTTAAGACTTGTCTGTGAAACCGGGGGATTAAATTTTATAGGCTTTTATAGTATTTTAGTAAAGGGGACTGCAGCATATTCATCCGATCTTCACATGAGGGCAGTAGAGATCTATCTGACTCCAGCATAAGGTCTGATATATTTTAATTGCACACGTTCTGTGCGCTCCGTTGTCAGAAATTAACCTTTTTATTAAGGAGCAATATTTGCTTCCTGGGGTTTGATTTTGGCCATTTAAAAGCAATCCATTAAAAGCAAAATCTACTCAAATATATTTCATGTCAAAAAACATGCTTATTTCACTAAAGTAACCTTTTTGAATAATTACAATAATTTACTTGACTTAGAATAAGAAGAATTCAAAAACATATATCTGGTGTTTTAAAATTTAAATCTTAAACATTTTTTAAAGTTATATTTATGGGCGTTTTCTGCCTTTATTGGGACAGGACAGTAAAGAGCGGATAGGAAAGCATTGGGTGGAGAGCGAGGGGGGCGGGATCGGCAAAGGACCTCGAGACGGGAATCGAACTCGGTTCGCCGTGAACGCAGTTGCGCGGTATGTCGGCGCACTAACCACGAGGTTATTGGCGTTTGTAAAGCCGAATGGAAACAAACAATTATACAATAAAACAGCTTCCTTGTCCAATACATATCCACAGTTTGAAATCATACAGATGAGATTAAGATAATTTACACTCCTTTTTAAAGTTTTTGATTTTCGATTATATTTGAGTTTTCTCAAAGCATGAAAAAGCATTCTGTGGTGTTCAAAATTAAAGTGGGACGAAATAGATTTAAAGCAAATTTCCTTAGGGGTGTATCTCAGCATCTCATCTGTTTAAAGGATGGGAGTCATGAGACCTATGAAAAACAAAACCGAGGAAGCATGACTCCTTGAATGCAAACAACAAGATCTTTTGTCTTCTCAAGCTGACACAAAAAAAGGTGAATTCTCTTCACACAGCTATTGCCAGCTGACAGAATCCTGCATTCTGAAATGGAAAAAGTGTCAACACACTGGGATGATAAACAACTGACAACTTATCCCACACCAGGAGGAAAACGATGTAATGTCTGTTGAATGATGAATAAGTGAATGATTTAATTTATAAAAAGTAAAAAAGAAAAGAAACATGAGAAAAATAAACATTCCCATGCACATTATAAGTTTTTGATTTTCGATTATATTTGAGTTTTCTCAAAGCATGAAAAAGCATTCTGTGGTGTTCAAAATTAAAGTGGGACGAAATAGATTTAAAGCAAATTTCCTTAGGGGTGTATCTCAGCATCTCATCTGTTTAAAGGATGGGAGTCATGAGACCTATGAAAAACAAAACCGAGGAAGCATGACTCCTTGAATGCAAACAACAAGATCTTTTGTCTTCTCAAGCTGACACAAAAAAGTTGAATTCTCTTCACACAGCTATTGCCAGCTGACAGAATCCTGCATTCTGAAATGGAAAAAGTGTCAACACACTGGGATGATAAACAACTGACAACTTATCCCACACCAGGAGGAAAACGATGTAATGTCTGTTGAATGATGAATAAGTGAATGATTTCATTTATAAAAAGTAAAAAAGAAAAGTAAGAAACATGAGAAAAATAAACATTCCCATGCACATTATTCATATAAATATTTTTATATTTACATAAAACAGCCACTAAAAGGCTTAATATTCAGAATATCTGTAAAAAGTGGTTTAACAAAAAATATACGTTTATACAAAAAATGTGGTTTGACATAAATTATTTATCTCCCATATTTATTTAACCCCCTCCCCTCCACTTTATTAGCATAACAAACAAACAATTTTCCCCACTCTGCCTTACGAACAGCTGTGCGATAGTCCCGCCCACTTATCCAAATCACGGTGTATTGACACACAGGTTGACCAATAGAAAAATTGATTGGCAACTTGTGCAACCTTCTATCCAATAGAATCGCAGATAAGGCGGGGCCTAAAGATCATACTTGGTTGAATGGAAATACAAAGACAAGTAGCACCAAAACGGAGTATAACGCTTAATCAATTCTGTGTGCTTCGGTCTTGATAATCTGCAGGGAAAGGACGCGCATCTCCATCCGGCACTGTCAATACGCAGCTCCGCGCGAGCAGGGCGGATTCGACGCTCCTGTGGCGTGACAATTCATCTTCTCATCTAGACGCCAGCGCTGGTGATATTGCTGCTACTGCATCAGGAGCATTGGAGATACCCATCTGCATAGCACGGATGAAGACTCCTTCACCAAAGGACACTTGTGAGGTCGTCTTGTGGTGACGCAACTGACCATGCAGGAGCGTTGGAAAGCCCAGGTTTTCAAAGCAATCATGATAATCATCTAGTGGGCTGCGACCTCTTATTTCACATGTGTACAGCTTGCGTGGATCAATGCGTAGGCTACGCACCATGGAGTCGTGCTCTGCACTTCTAGCTCAGACCAAACCACACTTTTGCGGACACTATTTGCTCCTGTCATGAAAACGTGGAGATCTAGCGTGATGGGCGTAGGGTCAGTTCTCATTAATCTGGACTAAATAACGCAGTTTTAAGGAGTGTGCGAATTATACAGTGATTTATTGGTGGCAGACTATTTTAAAAGAATTTTCCATTTTTTAAAAGAAAGAAATCTGTTAAATTATTAAATGTAAATATAATTTGAGGGGAGCCACAGTTTTTCGAGGTTGGTCTCGCGCAAACGCAAATTGCCATTTGGCGCTACTAACAAATATCAGTTTCCGAGAGTCTTCTTAAACAAATTTGTGATACGTAACTCTATAATAAAGCGATACTTTAGTTCTTGTCATGCTTAATGGACGTATCGAAACTAACCGCAATGGAAAGCTGGCGAGCAGCTTACTGTTGTTATGGTTACCTCATCTGGCGAACGCGACTTTTGTTTGTTAGCTTCCGTTTATCGACAGGTGAAAATACGCGCTCTGACTAACTTATATAACTCTTAACAGTGCTGAAACGTTTCAAACCTATATACAGGTCTACTTCCCTACATATACATGTATACTTGTGTGGTTTTTATACTTTCACAATCTTTGTTTTTATTTACTCCTATGGTTCAAGTCTTAATTAGGGGGTTGAATCCCTAAAATGCCCGCTAGTAATTTGCACCCAGAGGTGGTTTGTGCGTTAGTATCTATGAATTGAAATGGGGCGCACAATTACTCCCTCTGCGTTTACCTCCTCTAATGCTCTAGCCACCTGAGGATGTGTCCCAAACGACTACTTTGTATATTTAATCATTTAAAGTCCTCTGTGATGTAAAAACGAGCGGATTGACTTGCAAAATGTGTTTATGTCTCTCAGAGAGTTTGACTACAACGACTGTAGCCTACTCCCTTTACATTGGTCCTAATTTATAAAAGCAGTAGCCTATGCAAAATGCTGCTTTTATAAATTACAAAATGGACCACTTTTACTAGTTCTTTTTTTTCAATGAGATGCACGTCTATATATCACACACACACATAATTTTGGTTTAGGCTACTTTTTTATTTTAAATCACCAGCTAACTGCAAAGTTGTGTCTTAAATGGGCAAATGACTTTAATATAGGCTGTGTTCCCCCAAAGTAATCCCCTCTTTAGTGTAAGAACAATTTATTTGGGATCACATACACATGATTGACAAGTTTAATATACAGTGTGCGAATAATTTAAATCTGTCACCAATCTGTTTTGGTTCGTTTCGCGTAACCCATTTTGGTGTCTCTTGCACAAAAACAAAACGCTAACGGCTTTATTATACATTTGTGGCGTTGCACCTATAGTAACTTGATAAATAATAACAGTAGTTATGTATCGTTCAATACAAACAGCTGTTAAGCAGCTGTTGCTATGGTTTCCTCAAGCAAATGCAATTTCTGTTCGCGAGTGTAGGCTGTACATTTAGCGCACTCCGACTAACTTGCGCGGCTACTGAAACGTTATTTGAAAACGTATGTTTGTATGTAAAAACAAAACAAACTCGTAAGACCTCCGAATTTTTCTTTGAGTTTATTAGGGAGTAAAACCCCCATAATTCGCACCCTGAAGTCATTTATTGCATGTAGTAATCGAGATCATGTCCAGATCTAACAGCGTGAGCCCACCCGGCGCTGGCGCTCCTGGACTGAGGGGAGGGACGGAGCACAGATCCGCTTGGGGCGAGTCTGAGTCCGTGGCGAACGGATGTCCATACTCGGCCAGATCCTCCTGCAAAAAGCTCATACGGTCCAACAGCCGGTGGAGAGAGGACGATGACTTCGAGCGACAACCGGGCCGAGCCACGACCACCGTCAGCCGGGTTAGTTTCAGATCCAAGTCTGCCTGGCAAGAACACGGGGAGGAGAGCCGCAACAATAACAGATCTTCCCCGAGGTACCGAGATGGAGAAGTGAGACCCAAGTCCGTGGAGCTGGGTTTGGAGGACAGGAGAACCAAATCCAAACCAGAGGAGGAGCTCATGCCTGAAGTGAACTTTTCCATGAGCGCGTGCTGCAACGGCGTGATGCAGATTTTCAAATCCAAGAAGTTCCAGTCGGAGAAGTTGGAGAGGCTTTACCAGCGCTACTTCTTCCGACTCAACCAGAGCAGCTTGACGATGCTCATGGCCGTCTTGGTGCTGGTGTGCGCGGTGATGCTGGGGTTCCACTGCGCTGGAGTAGTGTGTCGGGTCACTTACGTGGTGGTTTTCTCCACGGCAATCTTGCTCATCCTCACGCTGATGGTCGTGTGCAACAGGAACGGCTTCCATCAGGATCACATGTGGATAGTTTGCTATGTGCTCATTTTGGTGGTGCTGACTGTACAGGTGATCGGTGTGCTGCTCGTGGAGCCGCGCAGCGCGTCTGAAGGCATCTGGTGGACTGTGTTTTTCATCCATGTCATTTACACACTTCTGCCGGTGAGGATGAGAGCAGCGGTCATCACTGGAATTATACTGTCTGCCATACATGTGCTGGTCTCATGGAAGTTAAACGAAATGGACATCTTTTTGTGGAAACAGGTTAGTACAGTGCATATTTATATTCTTTCATCGTTTGAATTAACCTCTATCTATCTATCTATCACTCACTCACTCACGACTGTCAACATGGTCATTTGACCATAGGCACGTAACGTGGCTGCGATTAGTCTGCTTGATTATGTGCACACTTCCATGAGATGTTTTTATGCAGCAGTTGTGTAAACAATAAGTTAATAATGAGAAAATGTGTTTAGAAGTTCATAGCCTACATTTTCCTCTGCCAACTAAAATTCCAAAAGAAGCCAGAGCATCAGACTTTATAATCAACGCTGGGAGTCTGGGACTCACAGTCTGGACGGGTGAGTGGATCGGAGCGACAGCTGGACATTTACAAGTGTTCTGTAATCACTCCGCTCTAACTCCACTCCGTGTTTTCCATTTACCTTTCCCGGCTTAGCTACTAGTGCATAGTGGAAAATCGCTTATAAGCAGCGTTCTTAGATAATTTGTGCAATGGCCAAAAAGTTAACATTGTTTTGAAAAGCGTTTAAATTATAAAGTGCTGCTGGTCAATTTACACAATACATGTTTATCAGTAAAGTTTACTGTACTGTCACGTTGCTGTAATTTTTCAGTTCTGTAGTTTTTTCGTTAGTTCTGAGAATTTCAGTAGATCTTTAGAAGAACTGTCAATCCCTTGTTACCTGAGCCTCAAACCTTTCAGCAGAAGTTTAAGAGTGTTTATGCATGAAAAGAAGACTTAGTGTGTCTTTATCAGTCAGTTCTATAGGTCTTAGATGTTCTTGCAGTTATGAAAGCAACAAAAGTTGATGATGATTCACCCTTTTTTCTCAGCAAAGCCTTGAATTTAGTTGAACAAACACTTTTAAAGTATTTTATTTAATGGATGTGTATGGATTTATTACATTGTTATGGTGAATGCTTCCATTTCTGTTCCTTTTTGGGTGACTTGGTACCTTTTATTGGAAACTAGTAACTGCTTTACAACTTTAAACTGTATGTGCAAATATGGTGCAATATTGAGTCTGGATTATTTTTAATGATTACTGTTATAAATATTAAATATTTATGAAATAAGTATTAAGACTACATATTTTTTGTTACAAAGAATTACATCTCTAAAAACCTTTTATTATTAGTATTATTATTTTTTTTTTACATTTTAATCAGTCATTAAATATATACACTGTATATTTCTTATCAGTCTTAGTAGATTTCATAATCTTAAAAACAGTACAGTATTTTCTCTGTGGACAGTTTCATAGTTTTTGTATACTTAACCACTGTGCTCAGTTGAATTTCACAATCTTTTGACTCCAACTAATATATCATTTTATAGTAAATGTGTTTTAAAATCCTTCGTCTTCAAACATAATTATGTTTTCATTAAAAACACAGACTCTTTGAATGGTGTGTGTGGGAACGGCCTGCTGTGTTTGTTGCTCTTTCCACACAATGCTGTTGTCTTCAGCATATCAGATCTCTCTCTGTTTACACGGGACCTAGCAGGACTCTCCAGTAGTTCACTGTTGTTTTATAAAGATCCTGGGATGAAGGATGTATTAGGAGTACTCTCATAGATGACTAGCTTTCCTCAGACTGTGATGATCGGTGCTGCTTTTTATGAAAGGTTTTTGGGCTATAGTAACGACTAAGGTGAAATCAGGTCGCTGTTAGTGTTTCGATGAGATTTAAAAAACCGTTCTGGGTTCAATACAAGGTTAGCCATCTTATTTTATTCATTTTTAAACATAAAGCATAAAGATCCACTTCCATATCCAGTTCCAATTCTGAAGGTGCTAGATCTGACTTGTTCTGCCACAAATTAAGTCCTGATGAGTACAGCTAATCATTTGTAACTTTCGGTTGCAAATTAATTAGCAATTTTGATGTTTTGCAATTATTTCTTGGGTACTTTAAGTACCACAGGTTGTCTTGCATACCATTCTTTCATTACAGCAAGACCAGGCTACAAGAAAAACACTATGCACTTAAGGATAAGAACAAACCAAAGGTGCTTTTGAGGATTGTCTTACAGATCATCGACAGTTCACAATCTCCAGCTCCATTTCCCCTGTGTGCTTCATTAAAGCCGGAGGTGGGACCCAGTTAGAGGAGCTAGCATAGATGGGGGAAAACAGAGGAGGTGGACAGAGTCCTGCCTGGCACATCTCCAGCTCTAACATGGTTTGTGGCCGATTTAATTGAATTGCACCACTCTGTAACATGCAGACCCACTGGAATTCAAAACAGATGTCCTCCCTGTCCTTCTTGAAAGATCTGCTATTAATTTGCCTTTGAGAGTGATCCCCTATGGAAGCATTAACCTTCCCCCCAGGCCAGGCTGACTACGTGCTCTGCAGAGCGGCACGCTGAAGAAAGCACCATCTCTTGGGACTAATGTGGAGCTCACACACAGATGATCTTTTGATGCTGTGTCAACTTTTGTTCAGCTTGTGCAGACATTTACGTTGTCTGAGTAATCAATTTACATTATATCACATATTTCAGTTGTAGACCAATACCAGTGAAATTTTGCAGAAGAAACTAATGTGCTACTGAACACGTCTTTCTTTTAAAAGTCTATTCAGGGTCACTTTTACTTAATAAATAATTATTTAATAATAATAATAAATTATAGCAATATAATAATAATAATAATAATAATAATAATAATACTAATTATTATTATTATTATTATTATTATAATTATTTGTTTTAATAAATTAATTATAATAATAATTACAATAATAATAATATTTATCAAATTAACTACAACAGCAATAATAATTATTAGAATAACAACAGTAATAATAATTAAAAAGTGTGTGGAAAAACAAATATATCACTGGCATCACAAAAAGTCACTTAGTTTAGAGGTCAATATATTGTTTATTTTAATTTCATACATTCAAATATTATTTTTTTAAATTAATAAGTGTACTGAATTGTCAGCCCTATAATAATAATTTTAAATCCAAACGTGTGTATATTTTATTCATTTTATCATCAACAAGTTATCATCCTATTATGAGGTTTCATATTGAAGCAGTGTGTTAATGGAAAAAAAGAAATAAAACTACTACTACTACTACTACTAATAATAATAAACATCGGGGTGCGCTGGAATAATTTGGTTTAGAAACAATTTTCACTCAGAAATTGCTAGTAAATATCACAATTCCAAAGAAATGGCAAGTAATGTGAAATTGTGAGGTAGAAAGACTGAAATATTTTCTTGTAAAATGTACTCTAATAATGTTATATTTATAACTTAGAAAAATAATTTTTTACAGTGTGCTGAAGAAAGGCCTGTTTGGGTTGATGTGTTGATGTTTTAAATATGTAACCCCTCTAATTAAGGCTTTTTAGAGATATGTGAGTGCCTGTACGTGGAAGTATATCTATTAAATGAGGAAACATTCAATAATATATAGGTCTATAGATTTATGTATCCGGGTGTATTATGAGGTAGTAGGCAACCGGCCTTATTGCAGATTTTGTTTGGTTACTTGAAGACTTTATAAGTTTCAAATGGGCAACCATGTGTGTAATCCCTGGGAAGGTTGAAGGTTTATTCCCCCATAAAACAGCTGTAGGAGTGAGTTTGTGTTACCTTTCAAAATCCGACTCTGACATGTCTCTTATGAGTGCAGACCCTCAATTGTGCTTCTTGTATCTTAGCAACCAAGGCCTGTTCTCACAAACACCATCCAGAAGTACTCTGTGAGAGGACCCCTGCTTTTCATCTCTCAACCACCTCCAGTGAATGTGCGATCTTACCATTAGAGATTAAAATTTAGATAATTAAGGCACAACTGCCCCTGGTGCTGGGAGTCTTTACTCTCTCTTTTCTTCACTCCCCCCATGCATTGTTTTTCCTGTTGTCAAGGTAGACCTGAGGGTAATCAAGCTCTGATGTGTGTGGGTGGCTGCCCGCACCTCTCTTAAACAATTGCTGCAGTCCACGGCTTGTATTAGATGTCTTGTTAGGAACCACATCTTGAGGTACTTCATTTCACTATTCAACTATAAGCTGTAATGGTTTATTTATTATATGTTGTGTAACTTTTTTTTTTCCTATTGCATTTAAAGGAATAGTTCACCCAAAAATGAAAATTTGCTGAAAATGTACTCTCCCTCAGGCCATCCAAGAAGTAGATTAGAAGTACAGTAGAGTTTATTTCATCTTTGAAACAGATTTGGACCAAATTTAGCATCACTTGATCCTCTGCACCATTGGATCCTCTGCAGTGAATGAGTTCAAACAGCTAATAAAAGCATCACAGTAATCCACAAGTAATCCACATGACTCCAGTTCATCAATTAACATCTTGTGAATACAGGGACCATATTGCAAAGACATATTGCACAAAACATCCCTGCCAAAGCCACAGGTTCTGCTCCATGAACACTGCACCAAATTACCACTCGTAAAAAGCTGTGTTTATAATAAACAGATCCATGTTTTTAACTTCAAATGTAGACATGTTGTCTATCCATAATATTGCTTTCTTTCTAGTTAATGTCTGAATTAGGAGATAAATATACACAGATCAAGCACCGTTTACAAGTGAAAACATTTCTGAATAAACATGTTGGTGGATTTTGATGTGAGCAGACAACCGGGGAGGATCTTTTATTTTTTAATTAAATTTTTTTAACACTTACTGGGGGAAGCGTTATTGTGGATGATGGACTCAAATTTTTTTTTTTACACGTATGCAACTTTTTATTTTTTATTAAGACATTAAGATTAATGGAGTCATGCAGATTTCTTGTTATAATTTTTTTTCCAAATCTTTTCAGATGAAGAAACAAATATTATGCCATTAGTAGATTGACTGGTCGGAGCATTTAAGAAAAAATAATGATACTTTTAAACAAATTTTGCAGTTGCATTTCGTGCTTTTAGTAGGCCTACTCATGAATTTACACCCTAAATAAGAGCAGAAAGCATGTTAGATTTTTGCTATTCTCATGAAGCTTTCAGATAATCCCATGTGGTTGGATTTTATTGGTATTTCAGGGCTCCAGACTGCGACTAAAATATTAATTTGCGAGAGAAGTTTTTGCTGAGGTCGCCACTGGCGACTATATATATTTACATGTTATAACTTAAAAATGTGCATGTAATACCTTTTTTTCCTGATTGTTTTGCAATCACACCTTATGTTCACGTATTAAACTGAGACGATGCGCATCAAAGTTTTACTGGAAAAAAGAGTTTCAAACAGTCCTCATCTCTGCCGCACAGCAGCATTGTCGCGCACCTGCTAAACGCAGCTCAGCTGTACAGCGC